ACGAGCACCCCACACCCGGAAGCGCGACGCATCGCCAACCTCCCCCGTCCAACGCAGTGTGGGCGAGGTCTCCGGCAAGGAGACACGGGGCCAGAGGTTGAGCTGATGCGCGGCGTACCGGACAGCAAACGGCCACAGAAAATGGGGAGCCGCCGCGTGGACCAAGGAGGTACGAGCGACCTCCATGACCAGGCCAATGCGGCGCTCAGCAACCCCATTCTGCTGTGGGGAGTCCGGAAGCGTGAAGGTCTGCTCGATGCCCTCCGCCTGACAGAAGGTCCTCAAGAGGTCGGAGGAAAACTCACCACCTCTGTCAGAGTGCAGACGCAGGACAGGAAGATCCGTCCGGAAACGGCGGCGGAGCTGGAGACGAACCGTGCGGATCCAAGGGATCAGAATAGCAGGGACCTCACCCTTGGTGCGCAAGGGGAAGACCGTGGTGTAACGCGAGTAGTCGTCGACAACCAGCAAAAAGTACCGCTCACCGCCCTGACCACGAACGCGGGCTGGGCCCCACACGTCCAGGTGGAGGGTCTCCAGAGGAGCCTCTGTCGGGGGGAACGAGGAGGAGTGAGGGGCGGCGCGCTGCCGCCCCTCGACGCAAGGAAGGCAAGGCGGCGCAGGCGAGGCAGGGAGGGGAGGGAGGGACCTGGGAAGACCGGACACAAGGAGGCGACGGTGCATGCCACGAAGGCGTGGCAAGGAGGGGTGACCCAGGCGGTGGTGCCAGAGAAGAGTCTGGTGCGACAGGGAACGACACTCACAGGCGTGGGCCACCAGACCTGACGCAGACACCTGACCGACAGCAGCTACCTGGGGAGACGCAGTGGTCAGTGTGTAGAGACTCGACCCCGGCCGACGGGTGAACGTAGCCAGGTGACGGCCGGTCCTGGAGCACGTGCAGATCGCCACACGCTGTCCGCCAGGGGTAAAGGTGTCAACCCACTGATCCTGGAGGACAGCGTTGCTCACCAGGTTCGTCGAGAACGAGGGGAGGTGGAAACCCGACAACGAGCCAGACGGAACCGCCGGACAAGGGAGGACAGTGGTGGACTGGGCAAGGACTGGGCCCCCAGAGGGGTCAGCCAAGGAGACTGGGACCGGTGCAGGAAGCGGTGTGAGCTCAGTACTGTCACGGAAGAAGCAACGGGAAGCACCTGAGTCAAGGGTGAAGGTGTGACAGGCCTCAGCCGGTGCGGTACCTGAGAGAGGTGTCTCTGTGGGTGCTGTACCTGAGAGAGCAGACTCGAAACCAGCCGGGACAGCACTGGGGGGAGCAAGTACAGGGGGCACCATACCAGAGAGAGCGGACTCACTAGTACCCAGGGCAGCGGGCTCTATACCTGGGTCAGGCGGCACACACAAGTAACAGTCTCCCTCGGCACTAACAGTCAATGCATACATGGCAGCAATAATAGCATCATAGTCAAGAGCAAAGACATCAACACCAGCCCTCATGAGCTCAGCCCAGCGGGGGCGCTCAACATCCGCACCCATCTCCTCACGCCAAGCGTCGTCAAGGCGGGAGAAGCAGCGGTACGGGGTGTGGAACCTCCCACACGTCTGTCCCTTGCGGTCACCTGTGCGAATGACATAAGAACAGCGGGCACTGGCCCCCGACGTCCCACGCTGAGCAAGCCACTCACGAAGCTGCTGGGTCGTCTGGGGACGCTGCTGCTGCTGGGAGCTCTGGCCCGAGCCAGTGCCTCCACTCCGACCTCCGCCGCCACCACTACCACCGCTCCGACCGGCACCGCCACCACCGCCACCACCGCCACCGCCGCCACCGCCGCCACCGCCGCCGCCGCCACTACTGCCACTGCTTCCTCCGCCGCCCCCGTCTCCACCACCGACCCCACTCCCACCAGCGCTCCCGCCACCGCTCCCTCCAGCACCGCCTCCCCCCCCACCTCCCCCACCTCCTCCCCCCCCAGTGCCACCACCACCACTTTTGCCCCCCTTGCCCTTGCCGGTGCGGCGCCTCCCACCAGGAGTAGAAGCAGCGCCAACAGACTCAGCACCAAGGAAGTCAACAGCAGCAGCAGCAGCGTAGGAGGGAGCGAGGGGAGAGGGAGAACACCCCTCAAAGATGGGGGTGCGAGGAGCGCCACGAGCAGCACCGACAGCTACAATGCTCTTTTCGGCCGCGAGCAGGTGCTCCTCTAGGAGGGCGACTGTGAGCTCAGTGGGACAGCGAGCAAGGAAGTGGTCTCAAACTGAGCGGAGGGTGTCAGGGAGACGGGTGACTATGAAGTGGAGTGTCCAGTACAGTGGAGGGGGGTTCTTAGCGCAGAACTCGGTGGGAAGGGCGGCACGCAGGCGAGCATCACTAGTGCGAAGGTGGGTGATAAGATCGGCGACTGTAGTAAAGGTGGACAGATCGGGGAACAGGTACGGCAGCATGAGGCGGCTAAGCTCGGCTGTGGCAGGCGAGGAGTAGCGAGCGACGACAGCGTCGTACAGGGCCTTAGCGGATTTGCAGTCGCCAAAATGCTCTAGCTCAGCTAACGGCAGGTGACTGCGAATGGCTAGGCGAGCAGCTGCGTCACGAGTCTGCCAGTGGGAACGAACACTAAGCTCAGCTGTGGCAGGAGGGGCAGGCGCAGCACCAGACGCGTAATCATAGAGCGACACATGCTCCTTGCTATCGCTCAGGAGGAACAGCTGCAGGTCATCTAGCCAAGCGGTGAACCGCACAGGGCGGCCCTCAGCATCGAACGACAGCACGCGGATGGAAGCCATAGCGACAGTGTGACAGAGTAACGCAAGCTGCCGCAGCAGGGGAAGGCGACTGTGCACGGATAGAGAGCAGCGGGCGAGGCTGGCGCTACGGGCAGGCGGCGCTGCAAGCGGTCAGCGCGACGGGAGGGCGATGCTGCGAGCGGGCAGCACGGCGGACGGGCCGGGAAGCGGGCAGCGCGGCGGGCTGGCGGCACTGCAAGCGGGCAGCACAGCGGGCGGGCGACGCTGCGTGGCGGGCGGGCCGCGAAGCGGGCAGCGGGCGGGCGGGCGGGCTGCAAAGCGAGCAGCGGGGCGAGCGGGCTGCGATGCGGGCGGGCCGCGAAGTGGGCAGCTAGCGGGCGGGCGGGCTGCGAAGTGGGCGGGCCGCGAAGCGGGCAGCGGGGCGAGCGGGCTGCGAAGCGGGCGGGCCGCGAAGCGGGCAGCGAGCGGGCGGGCGGGCTGCGAAGTGGGCGGGCCGCGAAGCGGGCAGCGAGCGAGCGGGCTGCGAAGCGGGCGGGCCGCGAAGCGGGCAGCGAGCGGGCGGGCGGGCTGCGTAGCGAGCGGGCCGCGAAGCGGGCAGCGAGCGGGCGAGCGGGCTGCGAGCGGGCGGCTCGGCGAGGGGCGCGCGAGGGCGCTAGTGAAGGGGCGCGCGAGGGCGCTAGCAAGGGGCGCGCGAGGGCGCTAACGAAGGGGCGCGCGAGGGCGCTAACGAGGGTGCGCGCGAGGGCGCTAACGAGGGGCGCGCGAGGGCGCTAACGAGGGCGCACGAGGGCGCTACGAGGCTAGGGCACGGGGTAGCGTGGTAACCGCAGCGAGCGGTGGTGGGCCCTTAAAAAAAAAAAACGGTCGGTAGGTCCTAGGGACCTCCTGCTCTGAATACCATATCAGAATCACTAGGCAAGAATGATTGAACTAGCAGAAGTTTGGGTACAAATATGAAACCCTAGTTGGGGTTGTACCCCATATTGGCTACCCCACTACAGCCTACAAGCATAATACAGTTTAACAGCATCAGCATGGCGCAGGACGCGGGATTCATCGTCCATAGGGAGTCCGCCGCTCACTGCCCCATAGAGGAACAAACGGCTGACTTCACTATGACGGACCGAAGTAGCGGAGCAACGTGGGTGTGCGATGTCACGATCACGGACTTCATCAGCATGAGGGATCCGGAGGCACGGAAAGGCAGGGGATGGGCGGCGCGAGAACAGGCGGATAAGAAGATCGAACACTATGCCAATAGGCCTGAGACGGTGGGCTTCTTCCCGCTGGCTGTGGAGACCTACGGCTGCCCATGCGCTGAGGTTCCAGTCTTCCTGAAGCTCCTAGCAGACACGGCGGCTCGGCGCTACTTCAACGCCGACTCTAACCCCTTTCAAGCCGCGAAGTTTCTGCACCATTTCAGGCAGAGGTGGTCGGTTGCATTGCAAAGAGCCCAGTCCGTAGGATACCTTCTCAAGTTAGGGGAGGCGGTGGCGGCAGAGAATCCGCCTGTGGGGGGGATTGGGCAGGAATTGTATCTTGGGGATTGTTTCGCGGTCATTGAGCCGCTCCTCGAGCCCTAGTGGGCTTTGAGGGCTTGGTTGTTCTAGGATTCCATGGTTGTTATCTCTTGCCAGTGTCACTCTGCATGTTTGTACCCTTCTGGATTATCAATATACGGACCATTTGAGAGAGAGAGAGGGAGAGAGATAGAACGAGAGAGAGAGGGAGAGAGAGAGAGAGAGAGAGAGAGAGGAGAGAGAGAGAGAGAGAGAGAGAGAGCGAGAGAGAGAGAGAGAGAGAGAGAGAGAGAGAGAGAGAGAGAGAGAGAGAGAGAGAGAGAGAGAGAGAGAGAGAGAGAGAGAGAGAGAGAGAGAGAGAGAGAGAGAGAGAGAGAGAGAGAGAGAGAGATGGCATAGCCTTAGTCCTTAGCCATTTCTAGGCCTCTCTTCCCTAGGATCTAGTCCTTAGCCATTTCTAGGCCTGTTTCCCTAGTATAAAGGCTCTGGATCTAGGCTGAGGAGCTCATTATTCACCGGTGAGTTAGGATCACTCTCCAAAACCGGCGGCTCGCGCCGGCCGCCTTCGGCGGCCAGCGCTCGCCAGCACGGCCTTCGGCCGCACGTGAGGGGTGACAAGGGGAGGCACAAAAGAAGCTATAACACGGCATGGGGTACAACACAGGCTCCTAACTAGACAAGGCTACAACAACAACACCCCCAGGCGTGGACAGTCCGCCATGGGGAAGCCCAAGGCTAGGCCCATTGCTACAGGGGCGGCCAAGGGGAAGAAGGCCTCTACTCTGCAAGTATCCAGCACAGCCTCCCGTCCATCCAGCGCAGGACGGCTGCGGCTGCTGATACAAGGCCAAGGGGTGCACCTCGGGCGGACTCGGCGAGCCGCATCACTGCGCCAGGACCAGGGCCAAGCGCAACCCCAGGAGCAGCAGACACGAGGCCGATCAAAGGAAGGTAGCGCAGCATCTCCTGCGCGGCGGACACGGCCGCCGTTCGCTCGGACGGCAGCATCCCGGCAACCTCGACACCCTGACGCACCACGCACAAATGGAGCTGGTCAAGCACGTATGACAGCAGTGTCAAGCACGTCCCCACGTGCACTACGCGCTGCTCGACGAGGGGCGGTAGTGTCGCCGCGGGGGCAGCAACGGGAAGGGTTGGCGGTTGCAATGGCAGCGGGGGTGGCGGAGGTGAAGGCTGTGGGGGCTGGGGGAGTGGGAACGGGTTCGGCCGCGGTTGCTGTGGTTGTGGGCCTTGCGGCTGTGCCATCGGCGGGAGTTGCCCCAGCTGTTGCACCGGAGTTGGGGGGTTTGGAGCCAGCGGCGCCGGCGGTGACTGGGTTGGCGGCGAGACTTGCTGCTGCCGCGCCAGACGCCGCCTCTGACGACGGCTCAGTCCCCTCCCCCCCCTTGGTGCGCCACAGAACCAGCCGGCGCCGGCCGAGGGGGGTCTGGCCGCGGCGCAGGGTCAGGCAACCCGGGCGGGAGCGGTCGAGTCGGCCGCGCCAGAGCTTGATGACTCCCCGGCGCCGGTCGGCTCGTCGGAGGTGGCTGCGGCGGTGGCTGCAGCGGTGGAGCGGCGGGACGTGGCTTGGGACGGGGACGCCGAGCAGGCTGATCGCTTGTCCGCCGAAACGCCTGCTGCTGTCGCGGCCGCAAACATGCAGGAGCTCGGCCAGGCGGAGGGTGGAATAGAGGGCTCTTCGCCCGTCGTCGCTTCTGGCGCCGCTGGCCCGGCGAGGAGGAAGACGAAGCTGCGTGTGCAGCCAGCACCGAGGCGGCTTGGAGTAGGGCTGGGACCTGGGGCCCCGGGACCCCTCCTGGGCTGGCTTCGGCAAGGGCGGTCGCCACCAGAGCAAGCGCGTCTATCGCCATCGGCGCCACAGCCTGGAATAGGAACGAGCCAGGGAGGACACACAGGGGAAGCTGGTCAGGCGCGCCGGGGATCCGAGCAGAGTGAACCAACACATCAACCAACCCCCAATCCCGCGAACCAGCCACCAACTCACCGAGAGACACGGAGCTCGACGAGGGGCCGGGGAATAGTATGGGGCAGGCCGTCAGGAGTGGGACAAGCGACTATGGCGACCCCCTGGGTGCCGGCTGGCCGGGGTTTAAGGCCTACGCGGGACACCGCGAGAGGCGGCGGAGCCGGCGTACTCTCCGCGACTCCCCGCGGAGGAAGAAGGGGAAGGGGAGTGACACGCGGGGGAGGAGTCGCTGTTCTGGGAGGAGAGGCTGCGATTGCGAGGACAGGCACGTGGCGTGAGCGCCACGACCGGCCAGAACGTGTGGCCGCTGCTGCGGATGGGAGCGGGGATGCTTCTGACAACTCACGGAACGGGAGTGACTTTATCCCTTCACAATCGGGAGAATCGGAGGAGACCTCCCTGGGTGATGAAGAGAACCAGGATGTGACGGTGCGGAGGCGAGGACGGAGGGAGGAACAAGGTGGTATACCACCTCCTTCAAGCGTGCCAGCGGGACAGACCGCAGATGTGCCACCGCAGCCATCTGAAAAATCACCAGCTGATCTGGCGAAGGATGAGTCCATTTGGCAGCAGGCCAGCACCTGGGACATTGCGCCACTTCAACGGGCGGACCAGCCTTTCCTGGTCAGACGGTTGCCCCCCAAGATACTGGAGAGTTACACTCTGTGCATTTTGGCCCCCCTGCTGCGGCTGGCCACGCACCCAGATTGTGTGGGGGCGTGGACTGTGCTCCAGTTCCTGCCCCGTTTGACCCTTCGACCTCTCCCAGAGCCGGTGGAGGGGAACCGCTGGATACACATCGAGACCCGGCTGCACCACTTCAGGCTCGGGGCTCTGGCTGACCTCTACAGTGAGGCATGTGCGATCCCCGAAGCAGGAGTTCCGACACGTCATCAGCCAGATGAGGCAGGCTTGTGTGCACGAGCGGAAGGGCTTATCAAGAAAGCCAACATTTCGAAGGCAGTTTCCGCGTTACAGGTGACCCCGTTGGCGGATCCGACACCTACTACACTTGCTGCTTTACAAGCGAAACACCCTGTCGGGGAACTACCAATCCCGAGTTGGGTTACCAACCGCACTGGCGCACCCGTCTCGTCACTGAGCCTGACCCCGAGCGACGTCCGCGAAGTACTAGCGAAATGCCCGAACGGAGTTGGAGCGGGGCCTTCAGGCACCTGCTTCGAGCATCTGAAAGACCCAGCGCACTGCAGCGAGGAAGTCCTCCTCCTCCTCACCAAAGTCATCGGCCAGTTGCTCAACTGTGCGCTGACGAGGGAGATACGGGACCTCCTCCTACCGTCGCGTCTGATCGCGCTCGAGAAGCCTGGGGGAGGAGTTCGTCCGATCGCGATAGGAGAGGCTCTCCTGAGAGTGGCGGCGAAGGCAGAGCTACGCGAGCTAGCACCCTCTATTCGGGAATTTTTCCTACCCGTCCAGTATGGTGTGTCCGTGCCTGGTGGGGCCGAGTGTGTTATTCACACTGTCCGGGCCCTGCTCCGCGAACACGACCACTTCGTCGCGCTTCAGCTGGATGTAGAAAACGCATTCAACTCGGTCGAGCGGGAGGCGTTTTTCTCCGCGCTAGAAATCTCAGACCTGCATCAGCTGCTGCCGTTCGTTGGGACGCTGTACAACTCGCCCTCGCGCCTCCTAGTCGACCCAGCCATGGGGGCCGACCACATCATGAGTTCCCGCGGCGTTCGGCAAGGTGATCCTCTCGGCCCGCTCCTTTTCGCAGCGGCGATTCAGCCGACGCTGCTGCGTGCGTCAAATTTGCACCCAGGAGCAGCCGTCATCGCATACGCTGACGACATCACGGTCGTGGGACCACGGGAAGATGTGTTCCAAGCCTTTGACACTATCGTCACTGAATTGGCGAAGCGCGGGCTGCGGTGCAACGTGGGGAAGTCATCAGCATGGGGACCGAGGGTGGAGGTTGCGGGGCAACCGGGACCGCCTCACGGTTTGCAGATGAGCCAAGAAGGGATCAAGGTGCTTGGCAGCCCCATCGGCACACCGGAGTACTGCACCTCGGAGGTTCGACAGTCGCTCGCCAAAGCATCAGCGCCCGTCCCTCTGATCGCACAGCTACACCCACAACACGCCTTGCTACTGCTTTCTCGTAGCATCTCACGCAGGATCTCGTACCTGCTCCGCACCACACCGAGTAGCGCGTTGGACCGAGAGGAGTGGCGGGCATGGAGTGAGTCACTGGTGGGGGCGGCGCTCAGCTCAGCCAAGTTACGAGTCCCGGCCAGTGAACTGGAGCAGAGCCTCCTTTGGCGGCAAGCAACTCTGCCCGTGCGCCTGGGGGGGCTGAGCATCATCGACCCCATCTCCGAGGCACCGGCAGCTTATATTGCCTCCCTGACAGCGGCGCATCACCTGCTCCAGCAGATGAATCTGCGAGAGGAGGAGCTTCTGGGGCGGGCGACGACACTGCTGTCCAGGGAGTGGACCCCTCCGCCGCCAGCCTCTAATGCTCTGGCCACACTGGAGGAGAGGCTGCCAGCGGAGGCGCAGCAGGCACTACAGACCTACAGGGAGGGCCCACGCGGGCAGGGTAACCTGCAGCTTCTCCTGTCCAAGCACATTAATGTGGTGCGGGCTAGGGAGCTGCTTGCCGACACGTTGGTGGATAGGCCGGGGGAGGACCAGGGGCACGGGGTCCGGTTGGTCAGTCTGAGGGGGGTGGGAGCCGGGGATTGGCTACACGCGGTGCCAACGAGATCTGACCTTACATTTGCCCCTGGTCAGTTCTCGTTGGCCCTCGGGTTCCGCCTTGAGATGGCCCTACCAGTCACAGTCAAGTGCCCCTGCAAGCGGGACAACTCCGAGATTAAGGACACTAGCTTGGCCAATCACCTGCTGCGGTGTGGGGAGGGAGGGGACGTGGTGAGGACGCACAACGCGCTGGTCTTCACGGCGCTGAGGCTGGCAAGGGAGGCGGGCTTCAACACGTTCCATGAGACGACGGCGTTCTCCTCCCCGGTCCACCGGAAGAGGGCGGACCTCGCATTCCAAGACAGAGAATCGGCCAAGACTTGGGTCACGGACGTAACGGTGACAGACCCGGTGCTGCAGAGGCGGGATCCGAGGGTGCGGAAGCCGCCTGGGTGGGCCGCTAGGGAAGCTTCTGAGAAGAAGCACCGGTTGTATGAAGGCCGGCCCGATTACGTGGGGTGTTTCGGCCTGGCGGCTGAGACGTATGGGGCGCTGGCGACTGATACAGTGCAGTTCCTACGGCTGCTAGCTGTAGCTACGGCGAGGAAGAAGTTCAGGCAGGGGCCGCTGACCACCACGGCCTCACGCCTCAACGCCCACTACCGCCAGCGCTGGTCGGTCATGCTGCAGCGCTCCCAGGCGATCTCCTTCCTCTACAAGAGCAATATGGCAGCAGAGGCGGCCTTCCCCCAGGCACCTGTGGACCCCTGGGAGCCGAGCCTAGGGGACCTCTGGCAGGTGCTGGACGATGACCTAGCCGGAGTGTAGGCGCTGCTGGGGAAGAACTGAGGGAGGACGACTGTTGTAGGAAGCGGGGGAGCATAGGTGGCCCAGTCACAGGCGTCAGATGGCTGTAGGGGTAGTTTCTTGGCAGTTCAGCAAGCCTCTCCCCCTATATGTTTGTTTGTGGCCTGCTGGCTGTTGTGCCTGGCCAAGCGGTGGCCTGCGTAGGTTTCGCCTGCCATGCCCAATCACGCCTTGCATGCCTGTACCATTATTTAACTATCAATGCATGACTGCTTGAGAGAGAGAGGCCTAGTCCTTAGCCTCTCCAGCCCTCTCCTGCCTAGTATAAAGGCCCTAGGGTCATCACCTAGAGCCTCATTAGTTTAGTTACTTGTTCGTTTGCTCTCCTAACCGAGCGGGAGAGAGAGAGGAGAGAGAGAGAGAGAGAGAGAGGCCTAGTCCTTAGCCTCTCCAGCCCTCTCCTGCCTAGTATAAAGGCCCTAGGGTCATCACCTAGAGCCTCATTAGTTTAGTTACTTGTTCGTTTGCTCTCCTAACCGAGCGGCCGCGTGAGGGGTGGCAAGAAACAAGCAAGACAAGCAACTATAGGCATGCATACAAGCATAGGACAACCCACACTAGCCTAGGTACAGCATGGAGCAAGAGGAGCCCGCTTCCACACGCGGTGAGCTCCCGGGGCGCGCAGACGCTACATCTGATCCGCGTCAAACACGGCAAGCAGCCCCGACAGCGTGCGATGAAGCTCCCGCACCAACACCGTGCCTGCGGCGATCGCCCCGGATCCAGTCCCTGCATGCAACAACCGCCGCAGCCCACGTACGGCCGAACCAAGGGGCCCGACCCCCGCAAGCCCACCCGGCGCGGGCGCAGCCAACACGGGCGCTAGCAGCTCGGCGAGGCGATCAGCAGCCGCGAAGCAATCGTCCCGAGGGCCGCCCACCAGTGAGTCGCCCTGGGACAGGGCGGCATGACCATACACCTGCACCAGATGCACGACCCGCAGAGCCTCAGAGAGGCGCCAGATCTGACCGAGGGCCACCTGCGGAACCGCAACTGAGCGCTGAGGCCCCAGCAGCGCCGAGAACGAGTACGCCGGACCTGCGGACGGGAAAGAGGGGTCAACAGGCAGCAGAGACTGGTGTTGCGCAGTCACGGGGACATGAGGGGGAGGAACCGTTGCAGGAAGACGAGGGGCAGCGTGGGCAGGAGGCGCAGTTGGAGGGAGTGACACGGGGGTGTGGGCAACCCGCGGGGAGTTGCTCTGGCTCGCCTGCCCGTTCCGCTCCTCGCGCACAGCAGCAGATACCGCGCGCTGCAGGTCAGCCATCGTCACCGGCTGATCATACCCCCAACCACTTCCCCGCTGACGTTGCCCCCACCAGCCGCCTCGGCCGCCGCGTTGCGCCGCCCAGTTCGCCTGAGAACCGCGGCGCCGCGGGGAATTGTGGCGGCGCCGGGATGTCACGCGCTCGTCCTGACGCGCGGGGGATTGGGGCCGCTGCTGACGGCGGCCAGGAGACTGCCGACGCGGAGCGGACGGCGCAGATGGATTCGCCACCAGTGGCGCAACAGGAGCAGCACCAGGCGGCACGAGAGGAGCACCCGCGGGCGGTGCAGGGGACGGAATCACAGGAGGTGCGGGAGATACAGCCATAGCCAGTGCAGGAGCAGACCCCGCCTGCACAGGCGGAGGGGGCGCCAGCGTCGGAGGTGGTGCAGACGGGGGAGCCGGAGAGGCGGGAAGTGCCGGCTGGCCCAGGCCGTCAGTGGTGGCGGACCCCTCCGTTGGGCCGTCACGCCGCCAGCAACAACCGCCCGCTCGGCGGCCGCAGATGGAGCGGCGGGGTCGGCAGCTCGAAGAGCGCCAGACGGCGCAGACACATCAGACGCCGCAGCGAGATGGACAGGCGGCGACGGCGCATGCGCCAAGTGAGCGCACGGGACAAGCGGAGACGTCGTCGCAACGTGGGACGTCAGATCGGGGGGAAGACGGCTTTCACCGGCTACTATCACGGGTTTCGGAACAGGCGGCAACGGGGGCTTTGTCGTCGTGGTCTCCGTTCCGCGCCCAGCCGGCGGCATTCCGTACACAGCTGACGCAACGACAGCGCGCTCTGGCGAATACACGTGCCCTCCAGCAATCACCATCTCAACACAGCGGGGGACGAGGCAGAGGACGAGGAGCACGTAGCGAGATAGGCGGGGGACCAGAGAATGGCTTCCAGGTGGCTGGACGCCGGGATTTAACAAGAATGGCGGCTAATGACCAAGAGGAAAGGCAGGATCCTACTTATAGGGAAGAGCAGCTCGAGCAAAGTGAAAATGACGAGGAGGAAAGCAATCGGCCCGCTGGGAGGAATGTCCCCCGTGAAGAGCGAGATGGAGGGGCCGAGGTGAGGGAAGCAGAAGCGCCGTCCGATGCAGATCGCACGGCTGTAATCCCAACCTCAGCAAGGAATGCAGGATCGAGGCGCGCCGGGGGAGGTCGAGCCGCACCGGGAGCTCCCTCTGGGCCGAGCCTGGCACAGAACCCCCGCTACTTTTCGCCAGAGGAACTCTCGCAGCAGGCTGACAAATTTGCGTTAGTCGCAAATTGGGATATTCTGAAGCTCTGCGACAGTCATCAGCCTACACTGTCACGGCGGTTATCGCCCAATTTGTGTCAGTTGTTCTCGCTCGCGCTACTGACCCCGCTCCTACACCTTTCACGAAACCCGGAATCAGTCGCGGGGTGGCGACTCCTGCTCTTCCTCCCGAGGCTGACACTTCGCCAGGCATCGCCCCGACGACCGAATTGGCCTCAGGTCAAGGCTCGGCTGCGGTCCTTCCAGCGAGGCGAGTGGGAAAAACTGTACACTGAAGCAACCGAGGCTGTCAACACGCCTCCCCCGCCACGTCACCAGCCTGATGCTGCAGGCGTCATCAGCAGGGCAGAGGGCCTGGCCAAGCGCGGGAGCCTACGCCGGGCTGTGCTGGCCCTCGAGTCAACGCCAGTGTGTGCACCTGGCCCAGACACCCTGGCCGAGCTCCGTAAGAAACACCCGCCAGCTGACACCACAGATTTGACCTGGCCGGCTGCGTCAGCCCCGAGCCTCGCCACCGCCCACGCTGACTTCGTAAAACTCTTGGGGCGATGCGAAAATGGGGTCGGAGCGGGAACGTCAAGTACCACATTCGAACTCCTGCGCGACGCCTCAATTACCAACGCATCTGTCTGCACCCATCTCCACGCACTGGTCAACATTCTGCTAGCGGGAAATTTACCCAGACCAATGGCTGACCTATTAACAGCATCGCACCTTGTCGCCCTGTCCAAACCTGGAGGTGGCACCCGACCAATCGCCATCGGCGAATGTCTGACACGCCTGGCAGCCAAGGCTGCGCTCCATGTCATGGGGAAGGCCCTGCGTGACCACTTCCTCCCACTACAGTACGGGGTAGCTGTGCCAGGTGGCGCCGAAGTAATCATTCATGCTGCTCGCTCATTCACAGACTCAAACCCCCGCTGCCTGGTGTTACAGACTGACATCGCGAATGCGTTCAACAGCATTGCGCGCCAGGCCTTCATCGATACACTCGCCGAACCTGCACTCTCACCACTCCTGCCATTTGTCAAATTGACCTATGGTAACCCTTCGCAACTGCACCTGGACGTGAATTTCGAAAGTGCCCCGTTGAGTAGTGAAAGGGGGTGAGGCAGGGGGACCCCCTCGGCCCGCTGCTATTTGCAGCTGGCATTCACCCTGCACTTCGTGAAACAGCTGCGACACACCCAAACGTGCTCTGCTTGGCATATGCAGACGACGTCACGTTCTTGGGGGACCCAACTGACGCTGTAGCAGCCTTCACGTGCTTCACCGCCAAGCTGGCGCGCTTGGGCCTGGCACATTATCCCCAGAAGTGTGCGGCATGGTGCTCCGCTGGCAACGAAACTACACAGTTACCACCAGGGGTACCTTTCTCTAAGGACGGGGTGCGACTGCTGGGCAGTTACCTGGGGCCCGCCACTGGTGCGGCAAAATTCCTGGCTACGCAACTGGCAGAAATGACAAAGCCGTTGCCACTCGTTGGGCAAGCTGATCCCCAAGTTGCTGCGCTGCTGCTCACGCGCTGCATCTCAAGGTGGGTAGCATACCTCACAAGAACGACGCCACTGAATCTCCTTCCACGCGAAACCTGGGCACAATGGGGAACAGAGCTTTTGACGACATTACTCACGGCATGCAAAATTCGGGTCCCATCCTGTAGCACGGAACAGGCACGCGTATGGGCGCAGGCGTCGTTCCCCTCGTCGCTAGGCGGAATAGGCATCACCGACCCCCTAGTAGAAGGGATCTACGGATTCATCGCTAGTTTTACCGACGCAGCCCTATTCTTCTCCTCACTCGCGCTAGGCACAGACAGCGCCCTGGAACGAGCACGATGTCAGAATAACTGAACGAGGAATGAATGAACTAGCTGTGAAATGAGTACAAGTACCTAACCCTAGAATTGTGTACCCCCTATAGGCTAACCCACTGCAGCCTAAACAAGCACAACACATATAATGTTTGACACACCCCCATAGGCAAAGTGGGGGAGAGCAAGGGGTCACAAGACCAGTCAAGGCAAAGCAAAACAAGCTCAGGGTGGATCTCAAGGATACCACACAAATTCCGAGCACAAGCAAGTGGTCACAAGACCAGTTCACATGCAGGTTGATAATATAACAAGAGATACAGCGATAACAACCTAGCAGGTGTAAACATGCAGGCATATATATAAAGATCACAGTACAAGCAGAGTCAAGAAGTAAGCAAGTGAGGACCAGCAGGCACAAGGCCTAGAAGAGTACAGAAACGCTGATGGTCACAAGGCTGAAGCGCCTTGGTGAACACATCAGCAAGGTTGGCCTCAGTGGCCACGTAACGCAGACAAAGCTGACCACGCTGCTGCAGCTCTCGAGCAAGGAAGTACCGTAGGGCGATGTGCTTCGTTCTGTGCTCCAGTCTGTGCTCCTCACACAAGGCAATGGCAGCCTG